CACCAGACGGCGCGTGAGCAGGGTGCAACCAAAAACGCGTTCCTCTGGTCACGCTACAGTAACACAGAGAATGAAGATGAGGATGAGGATGAGGATGGGGATGAGGATGAGGATGATACTAGTGATGATGCTGCTGATGTTGACGATGAAAGTGATGCTGTTGATGATGCGAATGATAATGATAATACTGCTGATGCTGGTGATGATGATGCTGATGATGATGATAATGATGATGATGATGATGATGATGATAATGATAATGATAATGATACTGATAATGATGATGATGATGATGATGATGATGATGATGATGATGATGATGATGATGATGATGATGATGATGATGATGATGATGATGATGATGATGGTGTTGCTGCTGCTGATGATGATGATGATGGTGATGTTGATGAGGAGGAGGGGGAGGAGGAGGAGGAGGAGGAGGAGGAGGAGGAGGAAGGAAAAAGGGCGGGTCCACGGAGTAGAATGCCTCAACAGACGATGGGTGCAGCGGGGTCCCGCAGAGGCCTTGAAGAAGGAGCCTCTCGGAATCCGCAGCCTTCCGGGGGCTCCCCCCCCCTCGCCCCGCCCTGGGTGTGGGCTCCCGCCCTCCCCCTCCGACACGCGCGGGCACCCCGGGCCACGGAGGTCCGAGCTGGTGCTGCTCGGGCACTCCGCTCCGAAGACCGCTGCAGAGAGCTGCGCCCTGCAGGGGCAGGAGGCCACCTGCGAGCCCCACCCCCACGCCCCACGAATTCCCAAGGGGAGGGGTGGGGTTCGCTTCGTACGGGACCTCCCGAGCGAAGTGGACCCCACCTGCCCCCCTAGAGCTCGTGGGGTGGTGGGGCAGGGTTCGCACGTGGCCACCGAAAAAGGGGCAGAGGCTGCGGTAGGTGGAAAATTGCTGCTGCTGCTGCTCAGCATCGGCGGCCCGCGGCCGCTTCTGGGGCAAATTCGGGGCCTGCAATTCCCACGGGAGGCACGCGGTGAAACAGAATCTTGCTGAACCATTCCAGCCGTTCCTTGGGGTTTGAGGTTTCCCTCTTCCTCCCCCTTCAGTGCGTGCTCCCACCCTCCCATCCAACTGCATGAGGATCCCCGAATCATTGTCGGGCCAGCTTGACTCTCCTTTGGTAGCTTTCGTCCGCTGCGGTCCAAGAAAGCCCTCCCTACGGCCCCTAAGACCACCCCCACACATCCCCTCACCACCGACTCCTTTCGCCTCCTCCTTCTCCTGGGCCTCCTCCGATCTCCCTCTCTTTCCCATGTTCTCCCCCTGCTCTTTGTCTTAACCCAACTTCCTCTCCCTCCGCCGCTACCCCACTCACTTCCCCGCTCCCCCGTTCCTCTTCCGGAACTGCCTCCCTGCCCTTCCTTCCTGCTAGCTCCTCCCTTCCACCGCCTCCTTCCAAAGTCCACTCCCGTACCCGTTCTGCCAACCATCTCCTCTTCCCTCCCGTAAGCGTCCGCATACACCATGTGTTTCTTCTTGTTCTCCTCCTCCTCTTCCTCCTCCTCCTTCGGAGGTCCGAGGCGGATTTCTTGGTTCCCCTCCCTGGCGCGCCGAGCCCGCCAGGTGCCGCCAGGGGGGCCAAACGCCGATCCAAGCACTCCGCGCGGATCCTGGGCGGGACGGGACGAGCTATCCGGCCCCCAGCAGCGATGAGTGGGCGACTGGTGGTCGATGCGCCCCCTCCTGTGCCTATCCCCCGCTGCCCCTGAGCTAGGGGGGCCGCCCACCCTGAGATACGACGTCTCGAAAGCATTACAACATGGCGCAAAAAGAATATCTTGGCGAGGGGCTCAACATCACCTTCGGCGGGGCTACCTATGGGGGCCACGAAGCGCCGTACTGAGACGCATGTGGTCACAACCACTGGGCCTTTCGGTGGAGCTCCGTATGGCGTACTAGGTGGCGCGGGGCGCATGCGGTCATAACCATTCAGGCTTCCGGTGGAGCTCCCGCGAAACGCCGTACCGGATGGTGCGCGGCGCATGTTGTTACAGCCGCTGGCTTTTCGGTGGGGGCTCCCTATGGGACCAACAAGCGCCGCACTGGATGGCGCGGGACGCATGTGGTCAAACCACTGGGGCCTTCGGTGGAGCGGCTGCGCAGCGCCGTGCTGGGTGGCGCGGGACGCGTGTGGCCACAGCCGCTTGACCCTTCGGTGGAGCTCCCTGTGGGGCCACGAAGTGCCGTACTGGGTGGCGCGGGGCGCACCCGGTCACGGACACTGGGCCCCTCGGTGGAACTCCCTGTGGGGCCACGAGGCGCCGTACTGGGTGGCGCGGGACGCATGTGGTCACAGCCACTGGGGCCTTCGGTGGGGTTCTATGGGGCCACGAAGCGCCACACTGTGGGTGGACTTAAAAGCACGTGGTCACAGCCACTGGGGCCTTCGTTGGAGCCCCCAGGGCCACAAACCGCCGTACTGGGTGGCGCGGGGCGCATCTGGTCACAGCTACTGGACCCCTCGGTGGCCATACTTACTGGGAGGCACGGGACGCATGTGGTCACAATAATTGGGGCCTTCGGTGGAGCTCCCGAAGGGGCCACGAGGCGCCGTACTGGTAACGCGGGACGGATGTGGCCACAGCCTCTGGACCATTCGCTGGAGTTCCCTATGGGGCCACGAAGCGCCGTACTGGGTGGCGCGGGGCGCATGTGGTCACAACCTCTGGGGCCTTCGGTCGAGTTCCCTATGGGGGCGCGAAGCGCTGTACTGGGTGCGCTGAAATGGTGGACATGCGGACGGCAGGAGCAACGGTTGGAGGAGTGTGAGGAGGAGTAGGAGGCAGAGGAGGAGGCGGAGGAGGAGCAGGAGGAAGAGGACGAGGACGAGGACGACGAGGAGGAGGAGGGGGAGGAACGCAGTGCGGTCTCTGGGGCGATATGTGATGGCAGGGCCCGAAGCCATGCGAAAGCGCCCGCTGCGAACAAATATGCAACGCCCAGATCTCACGGATCTCACCTTGTCGTTCGATCGGGCATGTCCCCCTACAGGCGGATGTAAGGATATTTGTATGTAAAGCTATATTTGCACACACATGTGTATATATATATATGGGTGTATATCTATATGTACACATATACAAGGCTGCAGTGGCGCTTCGCGCCATGCACCTTGCTCCTTGTAGTTTCGAATGCAGGCGGCGCGCGTCCGCGTGGACATGGGGCGAGCCACCGCCAAGTCGGAATAGGTGAGGAATTCCTAAACGGGAGCGCGACCAGACAACACCAGCTGAGGCCAGCTCAAGGCTTCTCGGGGCCCAGAGGCGCGAATACGTCTCAGGCGAGTGGTTGGTCTAGCATGAAGCAGGGCATCCTCCTCCTCCTCCTCCTCTTTCTCCTCCTCCCCCATTTCCTCCTCTCCTTTCTCCTCCTCATCCTCATCCTCTTCTTCCTCTCTCCCCCTCTTCCTCTAATTCCTCCTCCTCCTTCTCCTCCTCCTCCTCCTTCTCTTCCTCCTTCTCCTCCTCCTCCTCCTCTTCCTCTTCCTCCACTTCCTACTCGTCGTCTTCTTGTAATTGCTCCTCCTCTGTCTGCATCTTCCCCATTGTCCGTATACTTCTCTCCTTCCTCGTCGTCCTCTTCCTCCTCCTCCTCCTCCTCCTCTTCCTTCCCCCCTCCTTCTCCCCAGTGTGCCTCGCGCTTTCGCTTCCAATCGGCTCTTGCGGCCTCAGGAGGGCCCCAAAGAGCTTCAAAACAAGCCGCAGAGAGGCCCAAGGCTGGCCCACAAGGGCCCAAAAAGGCAACAATCTAACAGGGCCCGCAGAGTCGGAAATCAGACAACTAAAATTGGAAAAGTCATGTTTTCGGCCTTCTCGCATTTTCGCTTCTGGATGACTCGAAAGGCGTCAAGCTGACCGCAGGATTGCCTCAGAGAGACGCAAGCCGAGGCCCACAGAGGCCCCAGGCTGGCCGGAGAGGGCCCAAAGGATTGAACAACCATTTTAAACAAAAACCATAGGACAATCAATGTTTTTGGTCTTCTCGCCTCGTCGCTTCCGACTGGCTCTTGATATCTCTCGAGGCATCAAGATCAGCCCATGAATGCTCCAACTGAATCCCCAGAGGACCCCGAAGGCGGGCACAGACTGGCCTCAGAGGGCCCGGAGGTTCGAAAATCAATGAAAAACAATGGGAAAAGCAATGCTTTCGCCCTTCTCGCCTTTTCGCTTCTGGTCGGCTCGGGAGGCGTCAAGATAGCCCCAGGATGGATCCAGAGAGGCGCAAGCCGAGGCCCACAGAGGCCAAAGGCTGGCCGAAAAAGGCCCAAACACTTGAACATCCATGAAAGCCCATAGGAAAAGCAATGTTTTTGACCTTCTCGCCGTTTCGCTTACTATCCGCTCTTGAGGCGTCAAGATTGCCCCAGTTCGGCTCCAAACGAGTTCCTAGACGAGCCCCAAAGAGGCCCAAGGCTGGCCGAAGAGGGCCCAAATAATTGAAAATCAATGAAAACCATGGGAACAAAAACAACGTGTTTGGCCTTCTCGCATTGTCGATTGCGATCAGCTCTTGAGACGTCGAGATAGCTCCAGGAGGGCTCCAAATGAGTCCCCAGACGAGCCCCAAAGAAGCCCAAGGCTGGCGCAACAGCGCCCGGAAAATCGAACATCAGAGACAAACCAATGACGAAAACAATGTTTTCGGCCTTCCCGCTTTTTCGCTTCTGGTTGGCTCGGGGGGCGTCAAGATGACCCCAGGATGGCCGCAGAGAGGCGCAAGACATGCCCCAGGACTCGAAATTCGTTTGGGGGGGAGGGTGCGCGGGGATGTGGGTTCCCTAGTCCTATAAGCATACATATATATATATGTATGTATATATATATATGTGTATATCAAAAGCGGCACAAAAAAACAAACATGTCTAAACATTATAGGAAATCGTCCCCTGATTTTTGTTTGACTAGGTTAGAATACTCCTCCTGTAGAAGGACACGCCCGACTCAACCTTGACGTTGTGGTCTCGTGGGGCGCCGGCGGCGCGCGGCGAGTCCTGGACGACGTCGGCCGCCACGGCGATGCTCTCGCAACCGGATTCGTCGATGCCGCGGGCCTCGGGCGGGGCGGGGCACGGCTGTGGGGCGAGAGGCGCGCGGTGCGCCAGGCGAGGGGAGGGGGGCAGGACAAGGTTGTAGTCAGGTCGGGCATGTCACCCTACAGGCGGATGTTCGACGAAACATAAAACATACCCAAAACATATTCAAACACACACTCGAACATGATTATAAAAAAACGTCCCCCGACTATTTTTGACTATATTTAAATATTCCTCCCGTAGAGGGACGTGCCCGACTTAAGGTTATAGGAAGCAATTCCCTGGGAGGTCCCTGGGATCCGCGTCTGCAAAGAAAACGGGGGCGGCCAACAGGAGGTTCGCCAAGCATGGCCCGAGAAACGCGCGCGGGCAGGGGGGGGGGGGACAGAGGGGCACATGGAAAGACGAGAAGGAGCACGATCCACCATTGCTGGCCTGAAGCACCCCACTGAGGGGGGGTCCAAAACCAAGGGGGCCCTTCCTCCCTTGACAAGGACCTCACAAAGGACGTAGACGCCAAACCGTGCACAGGAACGCCCCCCCCGATCCGCGAAACAAGCCGCGCGATACGAACGTTCGCGCAAGGCGTATTCTCGAAACCAACGCGGATTCACGCACATGAACGTCCTCGTGTCGCTCCTCCCTTGTGACAAATCTGGGGGGGTCACAGAAGCAACGGGGCCTCCCGCCCCAATCCCGCAATCCCTTTTGGAAAGAACCGAAGGGACCCCTTCCCCGATCCCTCCCCCCTCCCCCCCCCTCGGTTGAGCAGGGACTGACCGTCCCGGCATTCCTATAGTCCTACCACGAAATTGTCTCATAACCCCCAAATGTTCTGAGAACAAAAACAATGATACCGGAGACAAACAAAAACATTCATTCATTTTTCAGGGCTGTAGGACTATAGGGCTGTAGGGCTATAGGGCTATAGGGACACAGGGCTAGATGGGCTATATGGGCTAGTGGGCTAGTGGGCTATAGGGCACCCCCGGGCACCCGGGCACCCCCGGCCACGCCCGGGCACCCGAGCACCGGGGCACCCCCGGGCCCCCGGGCCCCCGGGCGTGCGGCGTAAATCGGCGGCAAACCGAACCTAAGCATATGAATCTGCGATGACCCCTGCAGAGGCAAGATCTGATTCGGGAATGTTCTTAGACACCAGCCCGATGTGTTAAACCAAGACAATCTCCGCCAGAAAGGTTCTAAGAGCATGTCGTGGGAACCACAAAGGGTTCTTAGAACATTGTTTGGTAGGGCTATAGGCGAGCCAGGACGCTTCGCCACTGCTTGATGAGGGGCCCCCGCCCCGATCCCTCCCCCCCCCCTCGGGAAAATGCATGAGCGGGCCCGGACCCCCCGCCACCCTGGGATAATTCGCTGGGGGCCCAGAGCCCCCGCTCCCCCCTCCCGCCCCTGGGAACATAACTGAAGGGGGTCCAGACCACCCCTGCCGCGCAACGACGACAACGGCGAGGACGACAACGATGACGATGACGATGACGACGACGACGACGACGACGACGACGTCGGCGGCGGCGACGACGACGACGACGACGTCAGCGGCGGCGGCCCTGGCGCATCTGTCGCCAGCGCCGGCGCCAGGCGCAGGGTCTGATAGAATGCTTCAAGGGCTCGATGCAGCTCTGTCATAATCCTACCAGGACCCTGCTGTACTCTGCTCTATTCTACGATACGTTCCTCTTACTCTACTCTACTCTACACAACTCTACTCTGGCCTACTCTACTCTGCACTACTCTGTTCGACCCAACCGTACTCGAATCTACTCTACTCTACACTACTCCACGTTGCTCTTACTCCAATATACTTTTCTGCTTCTCTACTCTATTAGTATCTTCTCTCATCTCCACTGCTCTACTCTACTTTGCCCCGCTCTACCCTGCCCAATTCTATCATACCGTACAGTGCCATACTCTACTCTACTCTATTATACTCTGGTCCTGCTCTACCGTACTCTATTCTACGCGACCCTATTCGATTGTGCTCTACTCGACCCTACTCAGCTCAGCTCTACTTTGTTTCTGCTCCATTATACCCAACTGCTTTACTCTGATCGACTGCATTTGCCCTGTTCTACTCTATCCTACTCTGCTCTACCCTGCCGTACCCTAACATCTTCTACTGTACTCCACGTTGCTCTGACTCTACTCTGATTAGATTCCTTCTCTCCTCTACGGTGCTCTCCTCTATTGTATTCGGCTCAACCCTGCACTGTTCTATTGTACTTAACACTGCCCTACCGTACCCTAAAATACTCTACCCCACTCCACTCCACTCCACTCCACTCCACTCCACTCTACTCTACTCTACTCTACTCTACTCTACTCTACTGTGTTCCTACTCTACTCCTACTCGGTTGTGCTCATACTCTACCCCTCCTGTAGTATACTCCACTCAACTCTGCTCCCTTTTTTCTATTTCTTCCGTGCAGTACTAATCTACTCTTGTCTACCCGACCCTACCCTACTCTACTCGACTCTACTCCACCCTGTACGACTGTTCCTCCTATCATACTCTACGCCGAACTCTACACTGCTCCTCGGCGTTGTCGGGGTGTTCGTCGATCCGTGGAGTCGGCGCGGGGAATACGGATTCCCCATCCCAGAGCTGTGGATTCTGCGCGCGTAAACCCAACGACCTACGGGCCATCTGCGGACGAGATGCGTGTCCGCATATTGTCCTGTGGGCGCACCTTATATCCGCAGACTGTGCGCACAGGCCCAGGCAATCAGTCCGCATTTGACAATACAATCTGTGGACCAGGGACACCTGTTCACACTTGACCGTACAATCTGCGGACGGTCTCCTAAAAAAGGCTGTCCGCACTTTTGACAATACAATCTGGTCATTCGGCCACTGTACACGACTGCTGCTCGACAGCCCGACGGTGCCCCGACCTCTGTGCTTAGTCCGGGGGGGGGGGTCCTGATGGGGACCCTGTGTCCGCACATGACAGCACAATCTGTGGACTGCCTCGGGCCCAGCCGGCCGCCGACGAGCGCGAAGGCGCGGACAAGCAGCATGTCGTGCATGCCGAAGCCGTCGCGACGTTGGACTGGCGTCCACATCCTTTCGATTGCGATCCTCCTTCTTATTCTCACCTCCACCTGCTTCCTCGTGTCTCCCCTGCTTTTTTAGAAGGCGCCAGCCGTCCAACTATAGAGAGGGTCCGCGCCTTCTTATCTAAGAAGCAGGGGTGCTTTTAAGAAGCCTTCCCCACTCCCCCTACCCCCCTCTGCGCATGGCTGATCCTACTTGACCGACGATCAAAAACGGGTCTGCCGCGAGATGACACAGCGACCTTACGCGGTGACTCATGCGGCCCGCTGGCGTGGCACGCCACATTGGGGGCGAGGGCGATTGCGCGCGACCCTACGCGGGCAGCTTACGCGCCAATGTCGGCGCTGACGACCCCGCTTGTGGCGTCGCTCACCTATGTTGAAAGTAGTTGGGTGGGGATGGCGGGGTTTCGCCTGGTTGGCGGTTGAAGGCGCCTCGTGGGCGCCTCGGCACTATGTGCACTGGATTTCGGTCGGGCATGTCCTCCGACACGCGGATTTCTGGGATGAGTATAACAAATGAAAAAGCGCAGCAAGTAGCCACCAGACTATTATTTGGCTATTCTGAGGTGCTGCCCCTGTAGGAGGCACGTGCCCGAGCTACCGCTGGATGAGCACGGCGGGGTTGCGCATAGTGGGCAGCCGTGGGCGCCTCGTTGACGGACGCGGGGTGGCCTGCCGAGCGGCAAAAAGGGGACGCATGGGCACCTCAATTGAAGGGGCCCCAGGACACACAAATAAATACACACAAATAAAAGGATTCCCTATATTTTCCTATATTTTTCTGGGTTTCTGTCTTCCCCCCCCACTTCCCATATTTTCCCATATTTTCTGAGGAATTGAGGATTAATTGTGTCTGTGTGTTTTTTCCTCTCCTTATCAATGTGCGTTCGCTACATGGCTCGCGTCGCATGACGGATCCCGGAAACCTTGAAACAGGATGTCGTCTCTCGGGGGCGCACTTTTTACTTCCGCCACCTTCCGCCGCCCATCCGCCCGTTTCCGCTGGCGGCGGCGGCCTCGTTCTGCTTCCGCCGCCCTTTCCGCCGCTTCCCGTCGAGGATGCGATGACAACTCCTTCGATCTGCGAAGACGAGGCCCTCTTCGGCACGCGCCATGGGGCCGAAACCTCCGTACCGGCACCTCGCAACTTGCGCCGCGCAGTTTGCACCACGCAACTCTCCGCTTTCTCACGCAGCTCGCACCACGCGGCCGGCTGTTTTGTTGGAGGGGGCCCCGGTGGTGGGGTTATGTCGGGCCTGTCCCCCTACAGGGAGATTTTCGACGAAAAATAAAAAAATACACCAAAAATGCCCCAACAAGGCCAAACAATACTCAAAAAATACCCCCCAGACGTTTTTTTTTTGGGGGGGTTCGTCAAACATCCCCCTGTAGGGGGACAGGCCCGACTTAAGGCTATTTTATTAGGGGGGGGGGCCCGGGGGGGGCGCCGAAACGTCTCCTGCGAGCCCCCGGCGCGGGCGAGGGGCCCATTCCTCGATACATGGCCGCCTCCGGCGCCGGGAGGCGCCGGGGAAATCAGCTACGTGAGCTGATTCTCAAACCCCCCCTTTGCTATCCCCCCCTTTCGCCTGGCCCGAGAAAAACCTCCTGCGAGCCCCGGGCGCGGGCGGGCGCGGCGGGCCATGCGGAAGAAGCCGTCCTCGCCCCACTGCGTGCCCCAACTGTTCTGCATCACCCAGTACGGCTGCCCTGCGGGCCGAGGCCGGGATCGGCTTGGCCTCCTCCTCCCCCCATGTTCCTCCTCCTCCTCCTCCTCCTTTTCCTCCTCCTCCTCCCCGTCCTCTTCCTCCTCATCCTCCTCCTCTTCCCTCCTCCTCCTCCTCCTCCCTCCCTCCTCCCTCCTCCTCCCCTCCTCCCACTCCTCCCCTCCTCCTCCTCCTCCTCGTCCTCCTCCTCTCCTCCTCCCTCCCCGTCGTCCTCCTCTTCCTCCTCCTCCTCCTCCTCCTCCTCTCCTCCCTTTCCTTCCTTCTCCTCTTCCCCCCCCCTCCTCCTCCTCCTCATCATCCTGCTACTTTTACGTTACACCAGCTTCAGCAGCAGGTTCGTCCTCGTCCTCCTCCTTTTCCTCTTCTTCCTCCTCCTCCCCCTCCTCCTCCTCCGCCTCCTCCTCCTCCTCCTCCTTCTCCTGCTCCTCTTCCTCCCTCTTTTCCTCCCCCTCTCCTCCGCCTCCTCCGCCCAATCCTGCTCCTCCTCCTGCTCCTGCTCTTGCTGTTCCTCCTCCTCTTCCCCCCCTCCGTTTCCGCAGGGCCTTGTGGACTGCTGGCCTTTTGGGCCCCAGTCAGATTCCATCCCATTCGGCTCCGTAGCACGCCTCTGCCTTGTCACACACACACACAAACAGGCCAAGACGTCCATCAGTGGTTTGTGTTTGAACGTTTCCTGCCCAGCGGCAGGTCGCCAGATGTCAGACGGCGCGCTGAAGCACAGGTCGGCTCACATCGAGGAGGGACGACCGTCCTGATTGCGAGGGCATTTTTTACTCGAGCTACAGCTTGTTGCCCTTGCTGCCTTTTCCCTGAACGGCCGGAGAACAACTCTCGTGTCTTGGGGTGTTGGGACTGGCGGAGTGACTGGGGGCGGACGGCGTTCACTGATGGGTCCGGCCAAGCCTCGTCACTGCCAAGTCCCACCAAGTGCGGGTGGTCTGCCGTTGATATGGACCCGTTTGGAACAAAAAAACAGCGCGTGCAAGTTACGGGGATGGGTCCGCCAAGCAGGGTTCAGACGGTTCCACGCTGAGAGAATGTCGCAGAACTCAAGGCCTCGGAGGTTGCCGCTGAGCCTGATCATATCATCTCGGACCACTCCAGTCTCGTGAGACATGGGCAAGCGCGGCTGTCCACCGGTGGAGGGCCGCCGCAAAAACATCTGGAGGAGAATGCTGACGCTCGGTGCCAATGAGGCGCCCCCTGGATTCGCGCGGGTTCCATCCCGCAGACAGTTCGGGGATCTGTTTGGCAGTGACCAGTGTGCTGCGTTTCGTTTTTTGAAGCCGTGGGCGGGCGGATTTCTCCGCCGGGGCCGGGGCCCACGACCGCTCCGTTGCCGAAGTCTTGCCGGGCATTCGCTCGACCAGCTTCGCCAGCGCCCGGAAGGATGCTGAGATTTCTGCGCGGGTGGCTCAGTCTTCTGCTAGGCTGTCTGGGGAAGGGGGGCCCAGGAGCAAGGCCCAGCAAGTGCGGGGGGGGCCCTGGGCCGCGCGTTGAGCTCGCTGGGCGCGCCTTTTTGTTTTGCGGAACGCTGCCCGAGAACAGGCGCACGCAGTGCATTGGTCTGCTAGGGCAGCTGATGCCCCCCGCGCGCTCGGACGCAATCGCCGCGACAAGTCAGACCTTAAACAATGGCTGTCTGATCGTTTCCTCCGCTGCTCCTCCGAGGTCTTCTCTCCTCTTGAGGCCGCGCAGGTCGCCCTGCAAGAGGCTGCCCACCAGGGCGGGCTACTCGATGGAGACGACGCATGCGCGACCTATTTGTCGGCAGAGGACGCGGGCCAGAGGGGCGTGAATAAGAGATCGAAACTCAGCGAGGCTTCGGCCATGAGTCTGGAAGGTTTGCTTCAATCGCCATTTGTCTAGCCCGCGGTGCGCGCGGCGTGGGCGGAGGCAAAGGCCCCGCGCTCGGCAGTGATTTCAAGGGGCGCCCTGCGACCCTCCACGCGCGCGCTAATGAAGAGGCGCAGATCTCTCGAGCCACGCGAGCCCTTCACTCTCGCACGGGCCTCCCCTCAGTGTCAGTCCTTTGGTTTCCACTGTTGCAGATCGTCGTGGAGCGCTGGAACTGCGCGTTGCTGTCTGATCTTCCTCGCCGCAGTGCAAGATCTGTTTTCCCATGCTGAGAGGTATTCGGTCAACGGGCGCCGCTTCGTCGCTCGGCCCCCCCCCCCCCTCCTCCGCGCGCGCGGCAGGGCGGTCTCGATCCAAGCGCTAGGCGGGCTAGTGGGGCTCGAGAGCCTCGCCAGGGCCAGGCTTTGAAGCCTGGGGGGAGCTGCTCCATGGTCACCTTTAACATGGCCTTATGTTCGCCGCTCTGACTGTTCTGAGGGGGGGGGGGGCGCTGGCCCCCTTCAATGTCTCGGGGGCCCGCGCCAGCGCCCGTGCCGCCGACGCCAGATAATCCCTCGAAGGACTGAAAGGTGGGTCCGTGACCAGGGTGGATGGAGGGGCCTCCTTTGCGCGCGCAAGACCCCCGCTCGGTCTCGGCGGGAACTTCATTCGCGAGAAAATGGGTCCAGGGCGTCATCCGCGCAGCCGCTGGCCTCCCGCGGACTTGTTTAGCAAGAGCGTCCAGTGCCAACGCTCGCTGCGCAAACTCATGGGGAATGGCGGCTCGGGCGGCAGCCTCACCCTCTAATTCGTCGGCCATGTCGTTGGCGGGAACGCGGGCCCGTGCATTGGGGCCCGCGGCATTGCCTGACCTTGAGGCACCTAACATGGCCCGCCCGCGCGCCCGCGACTCTCCGGCATGCTGGCCAGAGCTTGCGATTCGAAGACGCCTTCCTAAGAGGCCCACTGAAGTGCCCGCGAATGCGACAGGCAGAATCTGCGCCCACTAACAGGTCACCCCTGGCGTGGCCGAGGAGCTCAACGGCCCCTGCGGGCTCCGCTCGATCGATGGTCTGACGCCCTGCACCGTGCCACTTGAGGGCCCCTCTATGAAGGTTAAATCTGCGGCCCGGGCCCCCGCGCCCCATCCAACCTGCCAGAGGCGGCGAGCGGCAGAGAAGGGCCCCCCGATCCGAGGCGCCAGCCGCCCCTCGGATCAGGAGGGCTCGGGAAGGCCCCCTTGCCCCTGTGCGACGGGATGCTTGAGAGTGGGATGATCTGCTGCTGTCGTCGCTCGGCCTGCTGGTATCTGTTCACGGAGCCCATGACACGCTGGCGTCCGCGGTCGAAATCCTCGGTGGGCTGGATGAGTGGGCGCGCTGCTTGGAACTGGAGTGGGCGGCCCAAGAGCTTGCGACAGTCGTGGCGCCGGTGGTCTCCGCGAGCCGGACAGAAGGAATCCCCTTGCATTCCTGCCTCGAAACGCCTCCTGGGCCTCCGGGCTGCACAGCTACATGCTGCCTTGGGAGCCCCCGCGAGGTTATCCTGGCCATCGCAATGCGTCCGATCGATCTGCCAGCGCGAGGTCGCGACGTCGACCACCCCCCCCGGCATCCTCCTGCTGCATGTGCACCCGGAAGATCCGCCTCTGACATTGCGGTGGCGAAGCTGCTGGAAGACACAATCCTGCCCCTCGAACTTTCTGGGCCGCGCGGGGAAAGCATCCCCGCCGAGGTCGGGCCAGGGCCAGGCCGAATCGGGGCCCCACCTGAAGTCCAGGGGGGTTCCCACGACTGCGCCGAGATGGCTGAACATGTTGTTCCACCTCCTGGGCTGGCGAAGCTCGGCGACTGCATTGGGCCGCGCGGCCGCTGCGCCCCTGCGGAGCTGCGTCTCGGCGGCGACGAGCTCGAACCAAATGTCATGCATGTTAGCCCCGTGGAGAACGGCGGGGCCCAGCGCCTCTGGCGGCAGCTTGGGCTGGCGAGGGCCTTCCGCGAGGCCACTTCCTGGCGTGCTGGCCTAGGGCGGCCCCCGCTGCCCCCCTGCATTGGGCGAGCTCCGTCGGGGCGACCCCGTGGCCCTCGAGTCCCCGATGGAGCTGCGGCTGAGCCCTTGTGCGATAGAGACGGCGGGCGCTCTTGGCGACCCTGCGGAGCCTCGCGACGTTCCCGCGCCTCTTGAATCCAAGACGCTGCCTGGCCCTGCGGACCTTGAAGCGCCTTCTCCTGCCAGCTGCGGAGTCGAGCCCACGGCCCCGGGCGCCCAGCTTGGTTTGCGGGGGGGGGGGGGGGGGCCGAGGAACTTGCAAGAGCCCCAGGCCCGGCACCCGATGTCATCGCCATTCGCGAGGGGGGCCGACTCGGGGAGGGGCCAGCGCCCGAGATCGACCTGCCCTGCCTTGAGATGCGCTATGGCATCTGGGACGTCATCCAGCAGCGATCTCGCGGGGCCAGCCACGCGGGCGCGCAAATCGTCGACCCGAGCCCTTAGCATGAGGCGATCGAACCTGGAGTGCGCCTGAAGGGAGAGATCGAGCAACAAAGCTCGGGCCCACGCCGCGCTCTGGCCGCGCCCAGCAAAGGTGCTTAGCTGCGGGGGGATCGCGTCGCTGAACCCCATCTCTGCGGCGAGGACGCGCGCGGCGAGATGGGCCATGACCCCGGGACTGAGACAGGTACTTGGTCACCTTCCCCTTTACTTCCATGCCATGTTTTCGGCGGTGGCGGCATCGGCGGCAATGTTCATGTCTACGGGCCCCATCGACGATCATACAATTGAGCTCTGGCCGTACCCCGGCAAGAAACTCGGGCGAGATGCCTGCTCTGGGGCAACGGGCGCCCTTGAGTGCCGCGTCCCAATGTCCTCCTGCCTTGGCCGCCTCCAACTTGCCGGTTGTCCTCTGCCCGTCCTCGTGAGCAGCCTATAGAGCGATGAGGTGAGCATAATCGGCCTGTCCGCTGTTGCGGTCTCCGACTTGAGTGCCGCCGAATTACCTGGGCACAGCGCTGGCATTGCCTGCGTGCTCTCGTCGGGATTCAGAAGGTCGGCGAGTTCGGCAATCCCTGGGTCTGGAAGCCCGAAGAAATGTGTCGAACTTTCCGCTGGTCGATGCCGGTGGCCGAAAGCCCTGGGAAGGTTCGGATG